TATATATATATATATATATATTTGTAATTCTTCATAATAAATACATATATTTCTTAAATTCCTTAAAAAAAATTATAAAACACCACAAATTCATCCAATGATATCGTATGTCTACACATAAAACCTCTAAAATTTAGATCAATTAAAAGATTCAGGTAAAATTACCAAAAAAATTGTGTTTTGTATAAATTCTCCTTATTTGGTTCGAGAATTGTACAACGCCAGCTCTCTTTTTTGAGATCAACGTGGTCTAGTGCTGATGGCAGCGATCATATGGCAAACACCTGCGAACGGGCCAGAGGCGAAAGATTTCGTCTTCCTCAACGGTAAGATACACTTCTACTTTGGAGCTTTATAGTTCTCTGCGCTCTGAAAGATGGTGGAATTCACTCCGCAGGCAAGCGTTATGTTAGGCCTTATTACTTTGAGTTCATCTCCCACGTATGTTAACCCATTCGAACTTTTATAGACGTAGTTTTCAATGTATTTGCTAAATTTACGATGTTGACCAGTATCGTTTATCTCATATCTTTGATTTTTAGGTTAAAAATAGATGGGCGGGGAAGGCAATTGTTGATCTTTTTACCGAGGAGTTCAGAGGAAGATCTTATGAGTATTATGTATGTCTCTTTTTTCTTATTCTCATATTTGATTAGATGTCGAGTTCCATTAACTTGTGAGCAGAGAAGAGGAGGCCATGGCTCCCACTCCGCAACAAATAATTATAATAATAATAAATAATGAAGAGGGCATCATGAACATATTAATATGATTGCAATGTGGCATAGTTACATTGTTGTTTAGGCTTGTAGAGAGAATTCCTAAACCTATAATCAAATGGCGCATTGAATACTGTATTTTTCTTAACACTTTTGCTGAATGATTGGTTAGAAAACAGTACAACTGTACGAAAACACGTTTGCTTCATAACATGGCTTACACCTGTTGTAAGAAGTTCCAGTAATGTTAATCACAGTTATGTTTGTATGAGTAAAATGATAAGTTATCTCTGTTTTTGTTTTGCTCCATTAGTTGTATCTTTGTTGGCCTTGAGGTTTGAGGGGAAGAGGAAAGATAGGATGGATGCAAATGTTCATTCATAATGTCATAAATACTAAAGAAAAACGACAAGGGATGCTAAATACAGATGCCCTAACGTTTGTTTTTGTGCATAGTTGGAGTTGGAGGGATCTTATTCAAAATTTTCACATTCAGAAATGTGGAATTTTACTGCCTCACCTCTCCGTTTTCCCACACATAGATTTTTCAGTTGGAAATTAGAATTCTATCTATCACAGAGCTTCTACCAAATCTTGACCTCTACTTGGTCATCATACCGAGGACATGTTCCTCCTCAGCCTGTTTGAGTCTAATTTCAATCTCATCATCTTGAACACCAATTGCAACTAGTGTGATCCAATCACAGTAGTGGTGAGACTAGATTTCTAACTGAGAGCATCTACTATAATATTTTTTCCTTTGGATTATACGCAATCTCTAAATAACGATCTTTTATTAATCCTAACTATTGTCATTGTCTGAGATTCAATTATTGAATTATAAACTACTTTAAACTCAGATTGTCAGTAAATACATTATAATTTTTTCTATAAAGAAAATATCTATAGATTTTAAGTGCAAAGATTACGGTTTCTAATTCTATATCATGAACATGATTGTTGCTTTCATGGAATTTTGATTGACAACATGCATATGCTACCACCCTTCAACATTGCATTAAAACAACCTTATCTTTAGAATGACACTTCACTAATTAATTGAAACCCAATGGTCAAAAAAAGAAACAACCTGTCATTGACATGGATGAAAATTTGAATTCAAGCCAATTGGTTGATCCAATCTCCAAATGAGCTAGGATATCAACATGTACTAGTACGAAAGGGCTTGAAAGCATGAATGCAGGCCTTCGAGGGGCTGTTCTGTCAGTTTTTGCATGCAGCAATGAGGACCCATGAAATATTGTGGTAATTCTCTTACCTGCATGGGAAACCTTGATAATGGCTTCACTAATCCAGGTGGGAAAAATTTTGAACTTGATGATGAGATGGAGAACAGAGATGTTCATCGATTAGAATTTTAACAAAAGGCTCATTTACTGTTTAAGGTTGATGACACCATGCTAGAGTTGCTAACCTATGGCATGACAGTTGAGACTGAGAAGCTTAATGGCTTGTTCAAGCATTGTGAGACCTATTTTCTTTTTGTAAGTGCAATTATGATTCATACCCATAAGATAGCCTTCATCAGGTTAACATAATCTGTTCTTGTTTTTATGTAATGGAATGTGAAATGCGAGGAACCATGGTTTGACAAAGATGAACAGAGCTGTTCTGAGCCATTAAATCCATGTTGAAGAAGTTCTACCTTATCAACCATTCGTGAGAGAAGTGGATTCAATGGTAGAGACTAAGGCAAGAAATTGGGAAGTATGTACAAGACTATATTCTCGAATTTCAGAATTGGATGGTTTCTCTATGTTTCTAGAAGAAATCACGGCTCGATTGAAGTCCATCACAAGGCTGTATGGCAACCTTTTTTGGGGAACTAGTGCTATTCTTGATCACCTTAATTGCTGAAGGTGCTGTTCAGACAATGACTATGGAACCAAAATCCTTTGATATGGAAAAACTGCACATAGAAAGCACACAGAACCGCAAGATTGCAAACAGATCATGCCGCCACCGAAATCCAGAAAACAGAAAGTATGGACAAAAATCCAGAGAAGGAGAATTCAAATAAAAAGGAATTAAAAAAAAAATGGTTTAACGCTACTCGAGCGACATTCTAGGATACAAAAAATTCAAACCTGAGTGAAGAAACGGGCAGGGTACTTGTTCTGACTCCAAAAATTGCCTCTCTCTAAAAAAGGATTGCATTTTATAGGCCAATCCTTTCAACCCAAGACCCTAAACAGATCAGGACATAAAATAAGGAAGAAAAAGAAATAATTACAAGTATAGCACTCTCATCCCACACAACATTGAAAAAACATCTCCCGTGTCAGGCTATAGAAGCCAATTACTAATCAAGGGTGGGTGACATGATGCAAAATTGTCAACGAGATAGGGACAAAGTAAATGAGAGGAGGAAAAGATAATCAAGAACATTAAAATAAGTGGTCTTTTTGCGTACATTGCCAACTTCATGGCCTGCAAACCCTATGGCAACATGAAGGCCAAGTGTCAGAAGCTCCACGGAAAATCATGGTGGAGGACCGATGAACCAAACAATTATGACATATAAAGAAGTGCAAACATTCACCTTAATGGATCACAAGAAACCGCCTGGAAGGCGGATGCTATAGAAGAAAGCAAGCAAAAGGGTTAGAGAGCCAATATAGCAGTTGACGAGTCTTTGTCTGATTTCCCCATTGTCAGTGTAACTTGTCCAGGTGGTGGAATTGCAATTTGCTATGCAAAATAATAATCACCTTTGAAAAGTTCCTATAGAACTGAAGAACAAATGTTGTTATGGCCTCTGCAACATAACGACAGCTTGGATCCATTTGAAACAAGGGGGCAACAAAGGTTTGCTCTTACAAGCTTTGGCTAGTAGCAACATGTGGTCGAGGAAATACTTCAATGTTAAATGTATAAGTGAACATGGCCATGATTTTTTTAATCATTGATATAAGAAGTTAGAAGAATTTTATTTCAAAGGATCTGATTGATATGTTGATGCTGAAGATCACTCATCCAAATTTTGATTCCTTGGTGTGGTTCTAGAAGTCATTTTATTATAGGGTGGATTGACAAAACACTTTCAAGTTTTAATAAAAAAGTAATACATCAATAAGTTATCCTATAAAGCTGTGCCTCTTGACGTGTCTATGTGCCCCTCAAGAATCCATAAATTTGGTGTCATAGCACCATCTACTACTTATGATGATTGTACTTATACAACAACAACAAAGCCTTAATCACACTATGTGGGGTCGGCTACATGAATCTTTTTCTGCTACATGAATCCTTTTTCTCCATTGCGTCCTATTTAATGTCATATTTTCATTTAGTTTTATTAAATTAAGATCATTTTTTATACAAGAAGCCTAAGTCTTCCTAGGTCTACCTCTGCCTTTCTTAACACAAGTCGAATCTAAAACATCTACTCTTCTAATCGGATCATCAAATGGTCGACGTTTAATGTGCCAAACCATCTAAGACGACTTTCTCTAATTTTGTCCCTCACAGGAGCTACACCAACCCTATCATAGATATATGATTGTACTTATGATTGGTAAAATAGTGTAGTTTTAAAAAATCACGCATTTTCAAAGCTGTTCATCTAAACATACATTTTAAGATATCAAATTTCCTCACCCTCGGTGGAGTCTTCTAGAAGCTCTCTGAAATCTCTTTCAGGAGCACTATCTGTTTAAGCCCATATACTCATCTTGCTAACGAAAATTTTAGCCCTAACAATAATACTAGTCTCTTTTGAAATCACCTAAAGCAATTGAAGTTCTTCTCACCTGCTTGCTTGTGTGCATGTGGAGCACACAAGAAAGCATTAATGACTGGATTCAACATTCCTTCTATCCTACCATTTTATTTATTCCATTTCATGTTTGCTTCAATAGAAGTGATGACAAAACTTAATGCTAGCACTATATATCTCAGACCAATGCGTATGCCACGACATCCTAAGTCTTCCATAACTGCCATATGATGATTGAAGTTCCAGTATCTATGTTACCATTATGCTAGCATATTAATGCAAACATTTAATGCTGTCTTATTTTGCTAGCACGAATTGATAAGTGCTAGCCTGTTGCAATGTCTGATTTTGCTAGCACAAATTGATAACTGCTAGGTGACATTAATAGTTCCAATATTGAGGTTATCTCAGTGCCAAACAAAATTAATGATCACATTGCTTCTATAAATACCCTGGGAATTGATGAGGGGGTTGCATGGTTAGTTGAATACCAAGGTGGCAAGAGTTTTTTTGGAGGAATTAAAATTGGGAGACCTTGGGTTTCACTCCCTTTGCTTCTTAGCTCCCCTCGAAGTCCCCCACCCTTTTTATGGTCCAATCTTTCATTCGGTTTTTGCAATCTTGGAATATAAATTAGGACATATCTGGAGGCTTTGTCGCAACTAGCATTCAAAGGGTGGCTTTCCTTATTCTTTCTCCTTTAGTTACTTCTATAGTTAAAACATTACATCATTCATCATGCCATTCTAATCCTAACTACTATAATTCCTCTTTCATCTTGGAGACCTCAGCTCTGTGAGGATTTGCCTGATATAACACATTAAGAGCCTAATATACCCGCACATTAGACCCTATAATGGATATAGGTCCCTTGGCTTAACCACTTTAAAAAATCTCTGTGCAGCTGCTCTTTTCCTTCAAGAGTAGTGAATTTTTTTTGCTTCTCTTTCATACAAACATTTTTACGCATGCTCTCCCTCATCACCACATAATTATTCCCTATTATTATTTTCAAAACTTTTATCTTTTATTCCAACTTCTCCTCCCTCAATTAGCTAAGAAATGATTGGTGCTAATCTTTGTTTTGTACCGAATAAGATTACCCTTATATCCTTTGTTCTTGATCCTTTCTGAGGTTAAGCAGAAAAACAATCTCTATTAAGAATTTCTTACTCTTTTACAAGATGTGAAGGTTTTACTACTCGGGAGTTGTTGAGCACACCTCTATCATTGACTCCATTATTGAATCAACTCACATATCAACAATTGCCACTGCATTTTGAAGAGTTTTAGGTGCGTGGTGCACACTTTGTCAAGCAAGGAGTAATCTTGATGAGCATTTCATCATGCGGACGCCAGTGATGTTTGTAAAAAAGATGACAGTGGATGATGAATGTGCATCGACAATCTTTCACTAATAAGATCACCATAAAGAATTCTTATGCATTGTTATGAATTTTGCATTTGATTGACCTACTACAACTGTCCATGTTTTTCTCCAAGGTGGATTTAAACTTCAGCCATCATCAGATCTTGATCAGAGAAAAAACCTGAAAACTATATCTTCAAATTGAGTGTATGAGGTTGGTGATATCATTTAACCTCTGAGATTCTTGAATAGGGTATTTTGCAATTATTTATTTTGGCTACATTTTTGTGAACAGCAACAATTGGATGTAATATTTATGCCAACTTGAGTAGGTGTTAACTTCTATAAGAAGCCAAAGTCGTACTTTTTCCCAGGAAGTGCGAATTTGACAATCACAAATTTATTTTTCTTGGCTTCACAGATGGTGAAGAAGAGCTATAAATTGATATAGTCAAGGTGGTGACAATTGAGATGTATCCCAGATTGCACACCATTTTTCATAAGTGCAGGTTCTTGTCAATATTTAATGAAGTTCATCATGCATTTGTAGGTGCTGGGCGCTCCTTCCAATATGGTGAAAATAAGAAGAGCATCTTCCAATTGTTAATAGGAAATTCACCTAGGTGCTATTTCTTTCTCTACCTAATTTGCAATAACCACTGTGATCATGCAAGTTCTACCATGGTTCCATGAGGACTTGTGATGGACGGATTTCATAGCTTTTTGGCTTCATCTGCACCATCCATGGGTCAACATCGAAATCTTATTTTGAGTGTGTTTAGGGTACCTTTGATAGAGTTTTTTTTTATATGTAGTTTTTAAGTTAACATGGAGGATGGCAGTAGTGAATATTAGGAGTTGTGCTGAGCCAAAATTTTGGAAGAAATTCTTAAATTCACAGCAGGTACTCCCTACATTATTTATGCTTATTGATACATTTCAACAAAATGTAGAATCTATCATACAAAAATGTAAGGGAAAAATGTCATCATATTTTAACCCAATTCATATTTAGATTAATAAATACATGCAAATCAACATGTTCATACCCATTTTTAATTCGTCCACTAGTAGGCCTATTATTTTACTATTTGCCAACAATGATATAGGTGTATATTTTTTAATTTGAGAACTTGCAAATGGGGTTTTCTGTATTGCTTAGACCTTTCTTTATCACTTTTTGGATCATGGTATTTCCCTAGTAATTGGCTTGTAGAAGCTCACTAAATTTGTAGAAGTTGGGTTGCATTGAGATCCTCCTTAGCTTTTGTCTGTGCGCAAAGAGGAGCCTCATAATTCCACCTTTATCGATAAACCTTCTTGATAGAAATGGGCTCTTTTTGTTTGTTTGAACATTTAACTGGGTTCTCATAATCAAGTTGGATTTATGCAGGGCAGGTCTACTATGGAAGCTATAAATTTATTGAGAGGTTTGATGGAGAAGTTCAGAGATAATATGGGGGATCTCATATGATTTTTATTGATTTAGGAAAAACTTACGATAAGATTCTAAGAGATATCCTTTGGAGAGTTCTTGAGAAGAAAGGTGTTGATATGACTTATATTCAAGTCATTAAAGATATGCATACAAGAACTATTACTTGTGTTCGAACAGGACGAGGATTGACTAAATATTTTCCTATTTCTTTTGGTTTACATCAGGGATTGACTTTAAGCTCATATCTTTTTGCTTTAGCTATGGATGGTCTTACTGGACACTTACAGGAGGATGTACCTTGGTGTATGCTTTTTGCTGATGATATCCTTCTTGTGGATAGGGCGAGAGAAAAAACTCAGGAAAGTCTTGAATTATGGAGGTCTACCTCGGAGTCTAAAGGCCTTTGTTTAAGTAGAACTAAAATTGACATGGAATGTAATTTTAGTAGTAGTAGCTCTAGTGATAGAAATGTAACTATGGGTGATCAAAATATTAAAAGGTGTGAACGCTTTAGATATCTCGGGTCTTTTGTTCAATGTGATTGTGATATTGATGGGGATGTTATTAGTAGAATTCAAGTTGGTTGGTTGAAATGGAGGAATGCTTCGGGCCTATTGTGTGATAGAAAAGTACCGCTTAGACTGGGTGGCGAAACCTGCAATGCTCTATGGCGCTGAACGTTGGCCTTTAAAAGAGAACCATAAAACTAAGTTAAGTGTTGCCGAGATGAGAATGCTTGGGTGGATGAATGTCTTTGAGCTTAGAGACAAAATGCGAAATGAATACATGCAAAATGATTATATTCTTGATAGGGTTGGTGTAGCTCCAGTTACGGACATAATTAGAGAGAGTTGTCTTAGATGGTTTGGTCACTTTAAACATCGACCATCTGATGATCCGATTGGAAGAGTAGATGTTTTAGATTCAACTTATGTTAAGAAAGACAGAGGTAGACCTAAGATAACTTGGGCGTATTGTATAAAAAATAATCTTAATTTATTAGAATTAAATGAAAATATGACACTATATATGGCGCAATGGAGAAAAAAGATTCATGTTGCCGACCCCACTTAGTGGGATAAAGGTTTTGTTGTTGTTGTTGTTGTTGTTGAAAATTTAAATGGGTTCCTTTGGCATTCATGAAGAAAATTATTGAAAGGATTCTTGTGGTTTGATTGTGAAATTAGATCTTATTTTTTAGTATCTTAAGTTGCAGTTTACTCTATATAAGGAGCATTCACATTATAAACTCTATCAATATTGGTAATGGAAGAAAAAAAAATAAGGCACCCCTGAACTAAGGAGAAGTTCTATCAAGGTGTTTATCTTTTAAAAGTAAACAATACAAGACATTAGATGGCCGCCATTTGCAATGCCAAGGCACTGGGATATCAACAAGGGTATTAAATAGGTTATCAGATGCTTAGCCATTCGTCCCATGCCTTTTTGAGGGAAGTGCGGTATAAGTCAGTTTTGTTGAACTGTAAATCTAGTCTAAAACCTAGAACAAATGGATTTAATTTCAACTATAAACATGCATTCTTCACTTTCAAATTTTATATAAACATCCTTTTCTTCTTGGTGTAATGTACGGTGCTATTTTTCTCGTGTTTTGTAATATTTTCTATTGTGCTGAGAATTTGATGCTATATATGCAGGAAAGTGCTGTCAAATGTGGACGGATTCAAGTGGATGATAAAATTGTTCCAGTGTCATATGTTGTTCGATCAACTCAGAAGATAAGCCACTTTGTGCATAGGTTGGCAAAATGACCCATCATAGCCTTTTTCACAAATTATAATACATTATATACATCTTTTAGAATATGAATTTTCTCATTGAAGTGTTTTTTTTAGAATATGGCCTCAACAGTAAAAGCATGTGCTGGTGTTACTTATAGCTTTTGATAATTTGCTTTTTAATTTTACCTTACCACCCATAAATTGTATTGAAGTTACTAACATCTTTATCAGAGCTGTTCCTACTACATATTCAAATATGCAATTTTGATTAAATTTTCTAAATATAAAAATAAATCTAATATTATTATTATATATTATGATCTTGGGCAAAAGAAAGCTTTTGCTAAACAATATCTGTAGGCTTGGAACATAGAATAAAGTGAGCCATTACAAAATATTCTATGTAGTAACACTAATATGCTATCATGGATACATATAGTTGCAGAGAATCCTGATATAAAATCCATGGACAAATAAACCCAGGGAGTTGTAAGGATAGGGTGAGAAACGTGCAGGCCAACATGCTGTTCAACATTTTTCCTTTGACATGTAGACATAGTTAACATTCATAGAAGCACCCTTTTTTAATTAAGGGCAATAACTGTACCTTCAAGCAAATGCATAATAATAACTATACCAAATTAACCTGCCATGCTACCAACACATATTTCTCAAACAAGATGACCCCAAAGAGAATAAAAAACCTACTACTTTCCTAAAGATATCCATCTTGAATCATAGAAGCAGCAAACAAAATGTGTGCTATTCTTTTGATTGTGATCAATCAAGTGAATGTTAGGACATATTACTGTGGGCTCCGAGAACTCGAAATATCTCTGACTATCGACGAAAGCTTAATTTGTTAAGTTTCAAATCAAATTTTAAGAAAGTAGATGAGATAGTAGATAAGACATTACCCAGAGATTTCGCCCTCATTTTATGAGGACTTTAAGATCTGGGGTTTGAGGTTTCCCATAGATGCAAATTCCTATGTTTAATTACCCCTTCCGATAGTGGAAGCGCACTTTCGATTAAGGTTAGTCATTAGACACTAACTGTTTAGAAAAAAAAAACATATTGTAGTAATGAATTTATAATTTAAAATTATAAAATTATCGCCATTAGCTTAAAAGCAGATGGTGGGGGGAAAATGATGACGAATCTGATCAAGATCCCATGGTTCCGTCATCACGGATTGCCATGTTTCCAGGTCTACTTATTCAGCGGAGGTAGACAACCCAATCTGACAGACGGATCCCTATTAGCAATCATGGGTTGCGTCTAAGGGAACCTTTTAGACCTTGGTGCGTGTTTGTCTAAGGGGGCTAATTTAATTCAACCTTAACTAACTGATGACTTTATGCCTTATCAAATATACCCAATGATTCATAACTCATATCATTGAGGAACATACGGGCTACAACTGTGATCATTTTACAGCGGAGTCTACTGACCAAACCACTTAATGGAGTTTACTGGCCCAACCATCCAGTAAGAGGGTTTCGGTTGCAACTGCTTCTTTTGTGGAGCCTACTAATCAAACCACGCGATCAGAGGACTCGAGTCATGTCTTTATTGACACAAATTATTTTGAGCTTGAATTTAATAGTATATTTAATATGACATTGACTCTTTATGAGCTTGAGTCAATATTGGATTTGTCCATCTTGATAAACAATTGCGGATGGTGGATAAATTTTGCTTTCTAGCATTGAGTGACATAATTTTTCATTAAAATATGTTTTTAATGATTTAAAATCTCTTAATTTTATGCGTGTGCTCATCCTATTGAAATTCATAATCAATACGACCATCATTCGGGAACATTGTCTTTGAACCTTGTCGATTCTATCTTGTTTATAGAAGAGCGGGTTCAATAATTATATTAATTAAATTTCAACTATATTTTGAAGTTTAATTTTGAAAGTAGACCCCTCTAGTTGAAATATTCTATTAGCTCAGTCATCATCAGAGAATATTAGTACTTGACATCATATAAATTACTCAGCCATCGACTCAGGTCCTTATTAAAAGGAGGATCAGAATGGGGGTTTAGTTTTGTCAACTCCAGCCACTATACGGAGGAGCCAAAGTGTAAAACTTACGACATTGTTCTATAGGCAAGATGACCTGCTAAAAAACATGCATAATTAACATTTTTTTATGATATTTAAAAAATAAGCTTTTTAAGAAGCTTTGAAATGCGTGCACACTTTGGAAGCAAATTTAATTTTAGTTCAAACATGTAATTTACGACCGCGACATTCTCAAATTTTCAAATTTATTCATTTAGGACACAGTAGAGCATATGTAAGTATTTAATTTATTGGTTTGAGTTGATTTTTAAATAGTTTTGCATGTATTTCGATGCAGATTAGATTTGAAATTAAGTGGGCATTTTAACCCACACAACATTTTCAATCCTTGTGATCGAACATTTTACAAGTTGGTCGGAGCATATATGGGTGTTTTAGTACTTATAGTGCATGATCCTTGGTATATTTATATGATCTACTCGCATGGATGTTGAGGCATTTGATGTTCTTCGAGTTGGTGTTCTTGACTCGACATTAATAATCTCATGCACAAATCGTAGGACATTTAACGATCTTTAAGGTGGTGTACTTGACTCGACATTAATAACCTTAAGGAATGTGCAAACCAAAACATGCACAATTTTATTTTGGGGCCCTAAAGTTCACCTTGTGTCTCCTATTACAACTTTGGAAGCAAATTTAATTTTAGTTCAAACACGTAATTTACGACCGCGACATTCTTAAATTTTCAAGTTTATTCATGTAGGACACATTAGAGCATATGTAAGTATTTAATTTATTGGTTTGAGTTGATTTTTAAATAGTTTTGCATGTATTTCGATGCATATTAGATTTGAAATTAAGCATACATTTTAACCCACACAACATTTTCAGTCCTTGTGATCGAACATTTTACAAGTTGGTCGGAGCATATATGGGTGTTTTAGTACTTATAGTGCATGGTCCTTGGTATATTTATATGATCTACTCGCATGGATGTTGAGGCATTTGATGTTCTTCAAGTTGATGTTCTTGACTCGACATTAATAATCTCATGCACAAATCGTAGGACATTTAACGATCTTCAAGGTGGTGTACTTGACTCGACATTAATAACCTTAAGGAATGTGCAAACCAAAACATGCTCAATTTTATTTTGGGGCCCTAAAGTTCACCTCGTGTCTCCTATTATAATTGTGGTTCAAATTCGGCCATGACAGTGCAAGGTTTTGTCTATTGAAATGCCTTTTGATGGAACGCCTCTTGTTCATTTGTGTATAAGTTGAGTTGCAGATCCAATGGCATGATTGCATGAATATCGCATTATGTTTACTTCTAGATGTGTGTTGCAGATATGATATCTTTGCAAAGCGTTAATTCAAGCCCCTCAAATATTGCCTTCTATCTACTTCTAGATGCAAGTTTTGGATTTGGTAGGATTAAGGCTATGAGTTTTGTAAGCATCATTTAGATAAAATTTTGGCAGTCTCTTGGCGTCATCCCCACTTTGGGGGCTACCTCGGAAGACTTTATCTTACCCCCACACCAAACAAGATGTGTGTAGCTGGTGTCGTAAGACACCACGACCGAAATTTAAATTTGCCCACTGCTCCTAACAAGATGCACTTACCCCTTCAATACTTATAAAGTAGCATGACAAAATTTTCCTTTCAGATTGGAACAACCGTATCGGTACTTAATTTACAATTTTATTGTCGAACTTAATTAATTTGTTTAGGCCTCGTCAATCTGAATTTCAGTAGTTTCCTGGTGTCATCCCCACATAGGGGGCTGAGTCTGACCACCACACCTAACAAGATGTGCGTGGCTATTATCGTAAGACACTGTGATCAAAATTTAAATTTACTTACCACACCTAACAAGATGCATATATGGCTTTGATATATGCAAAGAAACAACACAGAATTTCCCTGCCGAGCTGGAACAACCCGAATGAGTACTTATAACAAAATCTCCTTGCCCCATTGAAAAAAAAAGGAACGGGTACTTTCAACAAAATTTCTCCACCACATTGGAACAACAGGAATGGGTACTTAAAAGTAAGCAGATTTCTCTGTCCTGTTGGAACAATAGGAACATGTTCTTAATTGTATCCTTTATATACCTTATGCGATGCGAGGAGTTCAGCGAGTCGGAAAACCTGCAATAATTTCTAGGGTGAAGATAATTTATTTCCTTTGTACTTGTTTTGTCTTCATTGGTGCTAGCACACTTGTCACCCAATTGCATTACATTTTTTTGTTTTTAACCATTTATCGGTTAAATCATATCACACTGCATGCAGTTGATTTCTGAATTTTTTTTTAAAGTTTCTCTAAATACTGGCATTTGCCCGAGTAACTTATGTTGGTTGGCTGACTGGATGCCTTCCATTCAAGGTAAGAATATCAAATGCATCCTAATAATGATCAGAGTAATGAACAAACCAATAAGAGGACTTTTACTTCCTGATAAGCTTGCACCGCTCAGTTAGACCAGTACTTCGAAAAAAACCCTTGAAAGACTTTCTGTAACTTGAATATGTATATTTCCAATCAGCTTATACTTGAATCAAATCTAGACACAAGATTTCCACTTGGAATCGATTCAGTCTGGACTTAAGCTGAAACTTTCAGAGGGTAGAAGCAAACAGGGAGCAGAGATGGGTTTCGTGAGATGCTTGTTGCAGGGAGAGGATTTTACGTGTTGACCTGGGCTATAATGGTTGTGTGCGGAGCAGATTTTTACTGGTAGGAGAGAAGAGGGTGGTTTCGGTTGGGAGCTTAGCGTGAGAGAATAGTGGGAGCTTAAGTACGATTGGGGAGCCGCAGGGAGAGCATGTGGATTGAGCAGGAAGAGGCTTTGGCTAGTAGGAGTTTGGGTAGGAGTGCTATACGAGAGAGAGGGAGGGAGGGTATGGAAGACAAAAAATTGTGGCTATCGCATAACTGAGGGGATAGCATGTGGAGGGAGCAGGTAGA